TGTTTTTATAAGAGAGATATAAAGGGAAGAAATCCATATGATGATGTACTATAAGCCAAGTGATGCTAAGGATTGCCAGCAACCACCAGAAGCTGGTTGAGAGGCAAGGAACAGACTGTCCCTCAGACCCTCAAGATGGAACCAATCCTGCCGACACTTTGATTTTGGACTTCTGGCATACAAAATTGTGAGAGAACTAATTCCTGTTGTTTTAAGCCACCCAGTTTATGGCGCTTTGTCACGGCGGTTCTAGGAAACGAAATAGTTATATGTTGGTTTTTTTTTTTAACGTTTTAAAAGACTGTCAAACAATTTTTCAAAGTGTTTGCACCATTTTGCATTCCTATCAGCGGTGGGTAGGAGTTCCAATTTCTCCACATCCTTGCTGGCACTTAGTGTGGTCAGTCTTTCTAACTTTAACCATTCTAATAGATGTGTAAAGTATATCACTGTGGTATAAACTTGTATTTCCCTAATGTCTAATGGTCTTGGAAATCATTTCATGCGTTTATTTGCCATCTGTACATCTTCTTTGGTAAAGTGTCTACTCAAATCTTTTGCCCATTTGATATTTGGGTTTTTCTTATTGTTGAGTTGGAGAGTTCCTTATATATTCCAGATACAAGTTCTTTATCAGGTATATGATTTGCGGATATTTTGTGCCAGTTGGTGGCTTTTCCTTTCATCCTCTTAAGCATATCTTTTGAAGTTAGCTAGCTATTCAAGGTGCCAATTTGGATGCCACTTTTTCTTGGCATCACTTTCTCTGAGCCTCAAGCTTTGATGAGTGGCCCTTCTAAGGACTTGTCAAGTTTCAGACACATTCTCATATCATGACATGCATTGTAATTGTTATTATATTAGTTTGTTATTGTAATTGCTTGTTTACCTATTTGTTTCTCCCCCAGACTCAGAACTCTGTGATCATGGTCAAGGACTCATCACACCCTGCTCTCTGCTGCATCCTCCACACCAGCACTGAGATGGACAGAACATGCTCACGTTCATAGTCGCTGTCTGTCTCTCCAGCCCCACTGTCCATAGTTCTCCACCCTGCACTGTGTTCTGGAAAGCTGGCTTCTGTGGACTCCTGGACCACTGACTCCCGGCTGGGTCAGCCAATTGGAAGAGATCAGAGGGCAGGAGAAGAGGGGACAGGCTGTTCATTTTCTCAGCTTCCTCCCTGACAGGCTCCAGCTTGGTAACAATTGCTCTGCTCCTGTCCTGCCAGATGGCCCCTGTCGCAGAGGTACAGCTCTCATGAGGCCCCTATAACTGCTCCCTCCCAGGTTCCTTCAGGCCCCGAAACAGTCATGACAGCTTCCAGCACTGGCTAGAACCTAGGTCTTTCCCTTCCTGTTTTGGTTCCCTTCACTCTGCCCATAACTTTGTAAATAGTGTTTCGTTATAAACCACTATAAATCAGGGTCGCACCCTTTCTTGCGGAGACTGATTCCTACAGTGCTCCAAATACATTTGTTAATCTTGATCCTCACCATAACCCACACATTAAGTAAGTTTTACATCCTGAATCTTCTTCACCATTTTCATTCAACATCATTCAGGTTTCTAATATTTTTCTCGAGTTTCAAATGACTCCATACACTATATTCCTGTCCACCTCCTTCCTTCCTTCCCTCCTTCATTCACTCACTCAGCAGAGACTTTTGGAGAATTTACTAAGTGTCAGGAACTGTGCTGCCCTGGAGAATCAAAGAGAAGGAAAATGTAGTGGGCTCCTCAAGGAAACTACATTCAGGTGAGAGCTATAAATAAAGAAGTAATTCTAATTCAAAATGATGGAAGATGTACAAGGCCTGCAGGCGCAGGTGTTCCGGGCCGCAGGGGGCAGGAGACATCATTTCAGCAGGGCAGAGGGCTG